GAAACAAGACAAATTTTATAAGAGAATCTATAATAATTTAATCTTAGAACATTTAAATAATGATGACGAACAAGGCTCGAAGGTTCTATTGCAAAAAAAAGACCATATTCAACCGTCAGAATTACATGATGACTATAAAATGATTGAGCCTTGGAAATATTCACTTGATGATATGGGATGGATATTATTTGGTTGTCTGCAACATTCAGTTTATCTCGACAAAGAAAAGAAGGTTCTACTTTTGATTGGAAATATGACGGTTCAAGTTTAGCATAATCATGATGGAAAAAAAAGAACTCTTAGGACTCTTGAATTTATTAGTGTGATTGACAAGAGTTATAGTAACGATGTTGAAAGAATTTAATTAAATTAAAGGGGTGATATTGATATAATTAATGCTGTTAAGGAAGCTTGTCACACACTTAAATATCTATATCAGATATTTTAAGTGCTTGAACATGCTGCAGCATTAGCTATTAAAAGTTGCTCCTCAAGATACCAAGAAATAGTCAAACAAACACGAAATATTATCGTAAGATTTATTTAGCGGTATCCAATTGTTTGGCGATTATTAGATTTTCACTTTGATTTATTGAGTATTCTCATCGATGTGAAGAAATATTCACTTATAAAATACATATTATTTAGCAAAAGTAAAGATGCTGATGATGTCAATAATCCCGAAAAAGAGCATATTCTTAAAATCCTTGATTGTATATCATCCGAACTTGAAATCGGGTTTAAATTCTTTGATTGTATAGCATACAAACTTGAAATTGATAAGCTTGAAATCGAAAACCAATTTTCACAAGATATCAAGTCAGTTTGTGATAGTTTATTGTATAAGAAATTACTCCACATACCACAGTATAAATCGTGAGAAGGTGGATATAGTGTGATACATAAAGTACTTTTAAATTTGTTTATTTAAATTAATGCTAATTATTTGCAACACATTTTACATATTAGATATTAATTTATTAATCATTCTTTTTATTAGATGACGATCCAATATTTCTAGGCTATTTTTTAGAGTATTATTCTAATAAAGCAGTCAAAAAAATCAGATGGATGATTACGGTTAGTGAAATTATACCAAAACTATATGGTAAAGAGAATAAAAATAAAGAAAATATAAATAAAGAGAATAAAAAATAAAGAAAATAAAAATAAAGAAAATAAAAATAAAGAGAATAAAAATAAAGAAAATAAAAATAAAAAGAATAAAAATAAAGAAAATAAAAATAAAAAGAATAAAAATAAGGGAAATGAAAATAGGGAGAATAAAATAAGTATTATGATCAGTTTTACATTTTCTAATTTAATCTACATATTGATCTCTCTCTAACATTTTTTTAAACAGGATTTTATAGGTCCTATATTCAACAATTATTTTATAAACGTTGCTTTTGTGAAAAAGAATTAGATATACCCTTTTTTGAATTTCTTGAAATTCCACAAGCTTATATAATTCTTTAGAAGTTTCATACCCATAACACAATTGATTCCGCAGGATTCCAAATTAAGAGCAAAAGAAATTAGGTATGAACATACATACATAAGATTCATGAGGTATTGTTTCATTTTTTTTCATTTTGCTATTAATTAATTCGCTTTTAATAATAAACAGCCTTGATAAAATTCCTGATATTTAAATGGTGCCTTTAATTGATTTCACGACAAATAAGCTATTACTGAAAAAGACTGTAATAAATAAATATATGAATTTTTTAGATTATATACTTTATAAATTCATAGGTTTTTTAAAACCTATACTATGCCCCGGTAAACGTATACCCAAGGAAAAGTGGAAAAAGTTTTCTATTCCCCTTCTTCTTCTTATAGATAAAGTTAAAAATAATCATAATGACCCTTTCTACTATAACCCATCCATGAAAGCAATTATGAATTTATATGGTATACTTCTAAATCATATTGGTTCCAAACTTTATATATTTTTATGCTATATTTTCTATCATATTCGATTATTTTCTGGATGTATATCGCACACATTCAGATTACTGGTGAATTTTAACGTATTCTTGTGCTTGTAACCATTATATCATTTTTTTTTTTTTTTTTTTTTTTATCAAGGAAGGTCTTTCCTCTAGTTCTTTATTAGATAAAATTATGAATTATAAC